TGGATGCATTTCGGCCGCCTGGCACACCTGGCACCTCTTGCAGCTCTGCTTTCATTCCCTGGCGTCGCTCCTCGGCGTCCCCTGGCGGCAGTTTCGGCGGCCGTTCGTTCGCGCGTTGAGGTCATTAGGTTTGGCTCGTAGCCCGGTCTGGCTACTTACGGCCCGTTCAGAGGCCCAAAAGTCGCCTCCTGGAGCTCTCTTGGGGAACTCATGGGGCGCTCTTGGGAAGGCTTGGGGACATCTTGGGCCTCTTTCGGTGCTCTCTTTCTGGGCATCTGGGAGCCATCTAAAGGCCTCAAGAGTCCACCGGCATTGACAAGGCGAGATGGCAAACAACACTGATGTCCCCAATGTATTGGCAGGATCTCAACATCACCAGGGGCCCTTCGTGACCACGTGGGGCCGTCTTTGGGCGTGTTTGGGCCCTCCTCGGTGCATGTTGGAGTCTATCTTGAACCATTTTGCGCTATCGTGTGCGATCTTGGAAGCCATCTTTGGCTCGGTGTGGCCATCTTGAGCCATCTTGGACGCTCGAATCCCTCGCGAAACAGATCCCCCAAGAGCTACGGAGAGGGGTTTCGGGGGCGAGGATGCCCAGAAGGAGAATAGGGAAATTGGAATACATAAGTCCCTAACTCGCTTACGCCCACAAGGATGGTGGGACTACAGCAGGCAGTAGGTGGTTGGTGGGGGCATTGATGGCCCAAGGCCCCCAGAAGCACCATTCGGCCAGAACGCTTCCCTTCCTGGAGGTTTTCGGGGTGTCCTGGAGGCAATTTTTGTGGGGACCGAGAGGCCCCCAAAGGGCCGCAAACGCGCTCAATAACCTGGATCCTCGATTTGCAGATTGAGGAGGGGGATGATGAACGAGGAGGAGGAGGAGGAGGAGGAGGAGGAGGAGGAGGATGAGGAGGAGGAGGAGGAGGAGGAAAACTATCAGTTTCGAGGCGCGCTCCTTCCCCCGCTGCCGTTCTGGCCCGAGCTAAATTCTGAAGCACGCCGCCGCGATCACTGATCTGAGCCAAACCCTCCGAGCCAATGCAGACCGTCGCGGTGTTCGTGGCCCTCCTGGGCCTGTCTGCGGTGAGCGTCTCGAACGCCTCCAAGTACAGCCCGGGCACGTGCCACTGCGACTGCTGTGCGCCGGTGGACGGGGGCGAGAAGGAGTGCACCGCTCCCGTGGGCTCGCTCCACAGCCAGACCAAGACCGACGTGTGCCTCGCGGTGTTCTGCACGGAGGGCGACACGCTGGGGGCACAGAAGCAGGCGTTCAGCAACTTCTGCAGCTCCAAGTGCTTCCCGGACACCGCGGTCCCGACCACCTGCCGCCCGAAGGACTGCACGGACCAGGGCGTGAACGTGCACTGCGAGTGAGCGCGCCAGCGACAGTGCCCGGTCGGACGGACCGTGGTGCGAGAAAAGGACGCTTCTGCGGGAGGCCCGCTTTCGCGTGGTGGACATGATCGCGTTCGGATGCAATGCCTAGGAGGTTGCATTTAACATCGGCGTGGCGCTGGTACAGCCGCGGTCGACAGCTGTACTGCTCCGGCTTAATCTGGCTTATCCAGTTCCGACTCCGTTCAGATTCACTTAATCCTAGGCTGAATCTGGCTTAGAGACCGATCTTGCTTGGTAGCCTCTTTTCGTTCCCACGAAGCCCTCCGACGTTGCCTCCTTAATTCTTGACCCTTCGCGTATCCCCACCCAGCCTACCAGCTTCCGGCAGGTTGCGTCGCACCACGTTCCGCGACAGCTCAGCCCCCCTGGCTAGCACACGTCGTTAGGACGGTGGGAGCCTGGCGCCCCACTGGCGACTCGCTCCTCGGGCCTCGCGCCTGCCCCCACTCAGAATGACGGACTCGGTTGCCCAGGTGCTCGTCTTGTCACTGTGTGGGTCGTGCCTCATGGCAGGCATCGAATTCCTCGACATTTTGTCCAGTGCATGTGCTCGAGCTTCCCAGGATGCCCCCCGCCGGCAGTCCCCCCACTGCCTCGCGGCTGCTGTGTGAGTGGGCCGGCCGGCTAGTGCGCCTCTTGTAGCTAATTCGGCTTGCCCGTTGGCCCGGACACCCTGCCCGCCGCCTGCCTCTTCGCTCGCGGCCGCGACCGAAAAAGTATCCCCACCCACAAGTCCATCTCACCAGCATGTAGGATGCAGTCACGCCCTAGGACTCTTGGAGCCTCTGGGATGCATTCTGGGGCCATCCAGGGGCCCTCTTAGGGTATTCTTGGGGACATCATGGAGGCCATCGATAAAGAAGTGGGCTTAACAACTTACTGCCCGTTGGGAGGCCCAAAAGTCGCCTCCTGGAGCTCTCTTGGGAAACTCATGGGGCGCTCTTGGGAAGTCTTGGGGACATCTTGGGCCTCTTTCGGTGCTCTCTTTCTGGGCATCTTGGAGCCATCTTGAGTCCTTAAGAGCCCACTGGCATCGACAAGGCGAGATGGTAACTAGCATTGATGTTCCCAAGGTATTGGCAGGATTTCAACATCACCAGGGGTCCTTCGTGACCACATGGAGCCGTCTTTGGGCGTTTTGGGGCCCTCTTCGATGCACGCTGGAGTCTATCTTGAACCATCTTGGGCTATCGTGTGCGATGTTAGAAGCCATCTTTGGCTCGGTGTGGCCATCTTGAGCCATCTTGGACGCAGGGAGAGGGGCTTCGGCGGAGAGGAGGCACAGAAGGAAAATATGGAAATTGGAATACATAACTCCCTAAATCGCCTACGCCCACAAGGATGGTGGGACTACAGCAGGCAGTCGGTGGTTGGTTGGGGCATTGATGGCTCAAGGCTCCCAGACGCACCATTCGGCCAGAACGCTTCCCTTCAAGAGTGTCCTGGAAGCAATTTCCGTGGGGACCTCGAGAGGTCCCCAAGGGGCCACAAACGCGCTGAATAACCTGGATCCTCGGTTTTCAGACTGAAGAGGGGGATGATGAACGAGGAGGAGGTGGAGGACAACTATCAATCTCGCTGGTCTCTTTGGTTCTCACTTGCCCCGCTGCCGTTCTGGTCCGAGCTAACTTCTGAAGGACGCCGCCGCGATCACTGATCTGAGCCAACCCCTCCGAGACAATGCAGACCGTCGCGGTGTTCGTGGCCCTCCTGGGCCTGTCTGCGGTGAGCGTCGCGAGCGCCTCCAAGTACAGCCCGGGCACGTGCCACTGCGACTGCTGTGCGCCGGTGGACGGGGGCGAGAAGGAGTGCACCGCTCCCGTGGGCTCGCTCCACAGCCAGACCAAGACCGACGTGTGCCTCGCGGTGTTCTGCACGGAGGGCGACACGCTGGGGGCACAGAAGCAGGCGTTCAGCAACTTCTGCAGCTCCAAGTGCTTCCCGGACACCGCGGTCCCGACCACCTGCCGCCCGAAGGACTGCACGGACCAGGGCGTGAACGTGCACTGCGAGTGAGCGCGCCAGCGACAGTGCCCGGTCGGACGGACCGCGGTGGGAGAAAAAGGGGTTGGGCGCCCGTTGGAGTGTGGAAGGCATGGACGATTGGTGGGGGCATTCGCACATCCGGGCGAGCATCTGGCCAGAACGGGCGCCTCGCTTGTCTGGGCGAAGGGCGCCAGCGGTGTTTTCGCACCGTCCCTGGCCAAGCCAGGGCTCGGCCTGGGACCCGTGTGCATGTCTTCCTGGCAGGGCCAGGGCCGACCGATTACGTTTTGCAGCTTCTTCGCTGATTCCAGCGTGGTTTTTTGGGGGTCCGTAATTGGTCTAGTTCCGATTTCAGAGACGATCTTGGAGCCGTTTTTTTTTTTTTCTTGTTTCCAGGGGCGGTCGTTTTTACGATGTTTCGTTCTAGAAGAAGTCTCTTGGGAAAGACCAAAATCAGACATGCCGATTCCAGTGCTCGTTAAGTCCAGGATTGTGTATATTGAAGCGAATTCTAAGCCGAGGTTTGGCCCAGTCGGATTCGGTTCATCTGTGTATGCCGTCTGTTCAGAGCACATGTTGTTGTGTTCCCAGGTCCAAGTCTAAATTAAGCACCTTGTTACATCATGGGCCGATGGATTTCTATGTTAGTTTCATGCCACTTCGGCCAGCCGAAGCCCGGGATCATTACGTAATTAGCTCCTCCGAACAGCCTGTACAAGCGCCTGCGCTCAGATTTTGCAACTGTGCCAGCGCAGCTTTGTGTTTGTTAAGAAAGTCTTGCTTTTTGACAGCTGTCCTCTTCTAGGTTGCAGAAGGCAGTTGCCTGTGACGACTATTTTCCAAGTCTCGAAAAGGACGACGCACTCGTTAGCTGTCTCCCTCAGGGCAGTTCTGCCCACACGGCCTTACCAGATATCATTTAATATCCCGAGGTCCCAGGTGACCGTATCGCGTCGTGCGAGCTCTCTTCCCCAGGGTCTGCAGGGCCATATAATCGGAGACGCCTAATCCTGACGGGTCATCGCCGCTGGGAACGCCCACGTAAGCAAATGTTGGCGCGAAGTCTGGCCAAGCTATTGTACTGCGTGCTTCCCCAGCTGTTGTGGAACCCCTGTGGCATTGGGGGAGGTCTGGGGAGAGGAAGAGGAATGAGGAGGAGGATAATGATGATGATGATGAGGAGGAGGAGGAGGAGAAAGACGAGGAGCCCTCTCGAGGTGCTCTTAGGGTCTCCTGGGAGCGTTGTGTGAGCCTCTTGGGGGCCTCTGAGGGGCCTCGTGGGGCCTCTTGGAGGCCGTCCTCCCGGGGCCTCTTGAGAGCTTCATGGAGGATTTTTGGGGCCTCCAAGGTATCTCTTGGCCTTGCAGTCGTGGGTCCCTCTCTTGGCGCTTCAGAGCCGTCTTGGGAGTCTTGCGGGCCTGTTGTGGCCTTCTTGGGGCGATTTTGGAGGCCTATGGGGCCGTCTTGCTGCATCGTAAGCCCGAAAAGGCGAGAACGCTAAAGCCAGTGAAAAAGCTCTCCTGGAGATTCCCTTGGAGCCTCTTGGGGCGTCTTGGAGGCCTGTTGGGGCGTCTTGGAGGCCTCTTGGGCCTTCTCTAGGGCATCTTGGGCCGTCTTGGGGCCATCTTGGCCGTCTTGGAGGCGTCTGGGGACCGTTTTGGAGGCCATCTTGGGCCATTTAGCCGTCTTGGAGGCCATCTTGGCCGTCTAGTAGGCCATGTTTGGGCTATCTGGGGCGGAACAACCCTTGCCTCCCACCTCCCTGAAGAGCCTTCTGGGTGCCCGTCGCGATCAGCCGAGACCCCATTGGGATCCTTCAAACCATGACTACAACCAACCAAACGTCGTCCAGCACGCCATGCACCCCTATGGCAAGCCACAGGGGGCGGCAGATCTAGTGTCGCCATGTCGTCCTTCAGAAGTGCCATTGGCTCCCAGCAGCTGGTGAGCAAATGTGGGAGGGGCAGGTCTGCGAGCGCAAGCGGTGTGCCTGGCAACAGAGTTCCAAAGACATTATTGCGACCGACTCCGCCAGTACAGCACAAGTCAAACGAATGGGCCACGCCCAAAAGTGACGCGCGCCATATGACACCACGCGCGTACACATCACATCTTGAGACACCTCTCTGGCCGCAAACAAGTATTCGGCCCATTTCGCCAGCATGCCTCGGTTGTTGGTCAGAGGCATCTTGGATGCCTGTGGGGATCTCTTGGGAGACCTCCCGGAAGCCTCTTGGAAGCTGCTCTAGGGTGGCTTTGGGCCTCTCGGGGTCCTTTTGGTGGCTTCAGCTGGGGGCCTGATTGTGGCCTCTCGGGTGCCTCCGGGGGGCTGCTGAGAGGCCTGCCTGCTGATTGTCCCGGAGGTCGTTTTGGGATGGAGAGCTCGAAATGTCGGCTCGTGGTCCTCCTCTGGGGCCTCTTTCGGGCCTTTCTGGTCTGGGGCCCTCCTGGCTTGTCTTGGGGCCCTTCGGCATCCGAGCCAGTTCAGCGAAGCCAAGAGCCTAGCACCGATCACCGAGCGCGTTCCACTACTCGCAAAGGGCCTACTCGCAAGCGTCCGAAAAACCATACGTGTGCCTTAGTGTCATATATCGTAAATCCTCTGCGGTGGATCCATGCCATTTGCGAGTAGCTACTTTGCGAGTAGTGGAACGCGCGTGTCTAACCGAAAGAGCCGCGACAGTATGCACCAAGCCCCAGGAGAGCCGCGACACGCCCTCGTGAAGACTGGCAATGTGGCGAGTTTTGGTTAACTCAGGACCGGGGACGGATCTTTCAAAGGGACCTGAGGACACTCCGACTCGTGGCGGACGTGGCAGGTCTGCTCCTTACGTAGCACTTTGCCATAAGTAGGGGAACGAACAATGACATAAACATAAAAACTCTGAGGTCCGCGCGGATTACTCGGATCGGCGCTTGACCCCCTGGCGGCGCCTCCGGCGCCGCCCCTGGCGCGCCCCGCACGCCAGGGCTGATCCGAGAAATCCGCACGACCTCCGAGTTGTTATGTGTGTATATATATATATATATATGATTTTTCGTTCCCCTAGTAACAGTTGGGGTCTGTGCGTTGCGCGCAGCGGGGGGGCCTGATGCCGAGGAACCCTAACCGCACATGATCACCATACGACTTCACTAGGCGCCATGGGGGCTCGGTGGCGGACAGTTGTCATCGCCCTCAGCGTCCTGGCGGAAGGGGTGACTGCCTTCGCTGGGAACGCCCTCTCTTCTCCGCTGCCGTCCTGGCCCGAGCTGTTCTCCTCAGTTGCGCCGCCCCGATCACTGATCCCCAGACCGGCCTCTCCGAGCCAATGCAGACCGTCGCGGTGTTCGTGGCCCTCCTGGGCCTGTCGGCGGTGAGCGTCGCGAGCGCCTCCAAGTACAGCCCGGGCACGTGCCACTGCGACTGCTGTGCGCCGGTGGACGGGGGCGAGAAGGAGTGCACCGCTCCCGTGGGCTCGCTCCACAGCCAGACCAAGACCGACGTGTGCCTCGCGGTGTTCTGTACGGAGGGCGACACGCTGGGGGCACAGAAGCAGGCGTTCAGCAACTTCTGCAGCTCCAAGTGCTTCCCGGACACCGCGGTCCCGACCACCTGCCGCCCGAAGGACTGCACGGACCAGGGCGTGAACGTGCACTGCGAGTGAGCGCACCAGCGCCCGTTCCCGGTCGGACGGACCGTGGTGGGAGAAAAAGGGGTTGGGCGCCCGTTGGAGTGTTTAAGGCAGCGATTGGTGGGGGCATTTATTTTTCTAGGCGCCCAGAACGACCATCTGGCCAGAACGGGCGCTTCCCTTGTGTCTGGACGGAGGGCGCCAGCGGCGTCCCTCGCCAATCCAGGCCTCGGCCTGGGACCTTTGCGCAGCTGGTGCGAGGGCGAGGGTTATTGGAAGGGCACCCTTCCGGAGAGCGTTTCTGTTATTCCTGGTCGATGACGGGCGTGACTGTGGATTTTGTGGGGACTGCGACGCTGATGAAGCTGAGGGCCTGCCAGTTGAGAGCCGGGGCCCGTCACGTCACGATTCGCGCTGGCACCGTCTGGGAATGCTCAGGGACTGCTGATTCCCAATCGCAACTTGACCAGGGGGGTGAGGAAGGGTGGTGCTGTGGCCGGTCACGGGCGTAATCTTGAGTCGGGCATGTCCCTCTGCAGGAGGAATATGCAAAGTAGTCAAACAATGGTCTGGGGACGATGCTTTGAGTATGTTTTGCGTATTTATGGTTTTTCGTCCGAAATCCGCCTGTAGGGGGACATGCCCGACCTGAGCGCAATCGCGACTGATACAAACGTGGGCTCCTGCTCTTCGTGGTTGGGGCCTCCACCTTGCCGTGCTCTAGTGCTCTCCGCTGTGTGGCATGCCTTTCCGTGGGGCCTCGGGCCTTCGGCGCAGGGGCCTCGTGTCCTCGACCCGCGCTGCCGTGGGTCTGTGGGCGGCTCGTTTCCGCGAAGCGTCCTGGCGTGCCGATAGGTCCACCAAAGATCGGGTCGGGCGAAAGGGGGGGATTGGGAAAGGGGGGGTTACGAAGTTTGCTGCATGCAGCTGGTTTCGGCCCCACCGAGGGGCCCATTCCTCGATACAGGGACGCCTCCGGCGCCGGGAGGCGCCGGGAAAATCAGCTACGAGAGCTGATTCTCACCCCCCCCTTTGCTATCCCTCCCTTTCGCCCGACCCGAAAAGAGTGTGCTAAGAACCTTTGGTTGTCTGCACGGCATGTTCTCAGAGCATTTCTGGCTGGGACTGTCTAGTTTCAGCACGGCGGCCTTCTGTTCTGAGAACACTGCTTTTGCTCATAGGGCATTCTTGGGTTCTGAGAACACGTCGTGGTAGGCCTCTGTAGGAATGCCGTGACGGTCGGTCCCTGCTCAAGTTCTATCTTCCCTCGCGATGCCCGGGCGTGGCCGGGGGGACGGGGGAGGCGGGGCGGCGGCCGGTCGCGTCATGATGCGCGCCGGTGCCGCCTGGGATTGCCAGAGGGAGCGGCTGAGTCCCAGGCCGCCGCCAGCGCGAGGCGTGGCTTGGCCAGGGGTGGGTGGAGGGGGGGCGGGGATGGGGGGCTGGTGCACGTCGTTATCGCGAATGGGACAAGCACGGGCTTCGGGTCTGCGTATAGGCCCAGCGTAGGCCCAGCGTCGGCTTCGATGTAGCTGTGTTGGCCGTCTATCGAACGCAAGGCTCGGCGGTCTTGCGATCTCTGGGACCGTTGTCGTTTTGGTGTCATTTTGCGACAAGGGCGGGGCGAAGACAGAACGAGGGAGAACGAAAACAAGACGGGGATGGGAAGCGTGGTGCATGTCGAGTCCTGGTTGAAAGTTTATATTTTTGGGTTCTCAGAGTCCCAAGCAGTCCAGAGGGCGCACCATGTTGCTACCAGTTTTTCCAGGCAGGCAACGCAGAGCTGATATATCAGAACGTATCATGCGAGAAATCTGTTGGCGGGAATCCTTTCAATGATGATTTCTTTGCATGTGTTGCCGTACGTTTAGCTTTAAGGTGGCCGCAGCCAGTCAGAAGGATGCTGCCGAGATTGATGTGGTTTCCCTAATCTAATTCAAGCGTCTTCCTACTTCACGAGGCGATGGATCTCAATGTCAGTCGCATACCACATCGGCGGGTCGAATGCCGATCTCATGTTCCAACCCGTGCTTGCACTTTGGTATCTTGCTTCTGCTCTAAGAAACTGGGCCTGACCGCCGGTCTGGCGGCTACGTTGTCGCCGTCGCCGCCCCGTTGCCGCCTCGTCTCCGCCCGGCGTCTGGGCCTGATTGTTAGCCTGCCGGCTCTGTTGTCGCCGTCGCCGCCTTGTCGCCGCCTCGGCGCTGATCGTCGAATGGCCCTGACCGCCTTTCTGGCGGCTATGCTGTCCCCGTCGCCGCCCCGTCGCCGCCTAGATTGTACAACGAAGATTGCACCGCGTATATCCTCCTTTCTCGGGGGTAGACAGACCTCCTACCCTGACACGTCGATTAGCGAATTGGCCGTTTTCGGTTCGCGAGAGGGCATCGCGGCCGTCATTTTTGCGGGTCCAGGTCCGTCGGTTTCGGTCCCAGGCCGTTTTCACTGAAGGGAGGTTTACTAAAGGGAGGTTTGTCCACCCCCGACTTCTCTTACCGAGTGACGCCTCCCTTTTCCGTGCTGCAATGTGCATCGGCCTCTGCCCCTATCGTCCCCATCGTCCATCCTACATATGATCATATCGTCCCAGCCAAGCCAGCAATATTCCCTCCTTCTCTGATGCTCGTTTATCACAAGTCATTGCAAAAGACTGGACGCAGTGCACACGCGCGCGTCGTTTCGCGCGCATGCCGAACATGTAGAGGAACACAGGGGTCTCGTAAGGATTTCAAAATCGAGCGTCCCGAACCTGTATGTACATTTATATTTGTCTATATAAGCATGGTTTCGCAACACGAATGTTCAAAACAAGATTGCGCCCGCGCCTCTGGTGAAGTGTGATGAACCACAGGTTTGCCAACATGTGCATAATATGCTACCAAACGGGCCTCTCGCGCGCCGCGTGTCGAAATCGCTCGAGCGCCCCTTGCGCGCGTGCTGTCGCAAGAATCCCTTGCCAAAGACGCGGCGCAGTGCACGCGCGCGTCGTCGCGCGCGCACGCCGACATCCTTCAGGTGGTTTCGCAAGGATTTCAAACTTGAGTGCCTCAAAACCAGGTAAATCACATTGTTGTGCACAAGCATGTTTGAAACACGCCTGCATGTCGAAGGCATTCGAACGCGCATGCGCGCGTGCTGGAGGGGGGGGTGGCACGATCCGTGTCAAATAATACCATGTGGGCCAGTCTACCGCGTCGGCCGCGTGCGCATGTCGAACTTTCTCCAAAACCGTCATCACCGACGCGAGGACGCCGCATCGTCGTCGGTGTGGTCGGCATCGGCGCCGTCAATGGCCTTGCCGTCGTCGTTGTCACCATCGTCACCAGCATCGCTACTACCATCATCGTGTCTACCGTTGTCGACGTTGCCATGACCTCGCGCTTGCCCAACTCGCCGATTCGCACTAAAGTGCCCGCTGGGAAGTGCCTGGCGGTCAGCCCCACCGCGGCCGCGTCGATCGCGCCAAACTAGCTGGCCGCTTCGCGCGCGAGCATGCTCGGGCAAGCGCGGCCGCAGAGATGCATCAGCCAGCGCCGGCAGCCATCGCAATCGTCGCCGCGTGGGTTTTGTAATTCATGTTGCGGGTGGGTGGGTGGGATGATTGCGCGAGCAGTGGAGTTGACAACTTCAAGTTCGGCAGGGTTAATTTCACAACATAGATTGCGCTCCACATCAAGCCTCCCTCTTAAAGAGTAACAGGTTCTACCTCACCCCCCGCGGATTTGATGGTCCCCTTGTGTCGCGTTGCATTTTGTACGCGATTCTGTCCCATCGTCCATACTACACGTGCCATCTGTAGGGGCCGTTTTGGGGCCGTCTTGGGGCCCTATCTGGGCAGTCGTGGGTCTCTCTTTGGGGGCTTGAGGGCCGTCTTCGAGGTCGATAGGGCAGTCATGTGGTTCTCTTGGGGGCCGTCTTGGGACCCTGTTGGGGTGTCATGCGGGCCTCTTGGGGTCTTTTTGGACCGTTTTGGGTCGGTCTTTGGGGCGCATTGGGCCGTCTTGGAACGCCGGAAACCCGAAACGGCGAGAACGCGAGCATCTCTGACACACTTACAGCCAAGATTTGGGCGTCCTGGAGGTTTTCTTGGAGACCTTCGGGGGCCTCTCGGGCCGTCTTTCAGGGACAGTCTTCAGTCCATCTTCGGCCGTCGTGTGTGTGTGTGTGTATCTTGGCACGTCTAGGGGATATCTTGGAGAGCTCGAAGTTTCGGTTCGTGTTGCCCCTTTGGGGCTTGGGCCTCTCTTGTTGGGCTCTCCTGGCCCGCCTTGGGGCCCTCTGGCTTCCGAAAAACTGAGGTGACAACACGCGCCAAGTCGCGGGAGAGACGCGACAACAAACCCGCAGAGAGCCGCGGCGCGCCCCCAGAAACCTGGTTTGGGTCTTCCTCGGGGCGGAGGAAGGATGATCGCTCCAAGGGACCCGAGCACCATCCAACTCGTGCCTCAGGGCGCGGTGGCGGATGTGCCGGGTCTCCTCAGGAAGTGCTCTGCCGCAGCGGCCGGGGGCTGGGTGCGGCTCGCAGCGAGGAGGGGGCCGAATGCGGCATTTCTGAGACACCCGGTCAGAAAGCACAGGAGCACCATGCGACCCCACGAGGCGCTGAGCGGACGGCCGACATCGTCCTGCAGCTGCAGCGCCCTTGTGGAAGGTGAGACTGGCCTCCTCCGGTACCGCCCCCTCCCCTCCGCTGCCGCTCTGGCCCGAGCTGTTCTCCTCAGTTGCGCCGCCCCGGTCACCGATCCCCGGACCAGCCTCTCCGAGCCAATGCAGACCGTCGCGGTGTTCGTGGCCCTCCTGGGCCTGTCGGCGGTGAGCGTCGCGAGCGCCTCCAAGTACAGCCCGGGCACGTGCCACTGCGACTGCTGTGCGCCGGTGGACGGGGGCGAGAAGGAGTGCACCGCTCCCGTGGGCTCGCTCCACAGCCAGACCAAGACCGACGTGTGCCTCGCGGTGTTCTGTACGGAGGGCGACACGCTGGGGGCACAGAAGCAGGCGTTCAGCAACTTCTGCAGCTCCAAGTGCTTCCCAGACACCGCGGTCCCGACCACCTGCCGCCCGAAGGACTGCACGGACCAGGGCGTGAACGTGCACTGCGAGTGAGCGCACCAGCGCCCGTGCCCGGTCGGTCGGGCCGTGGTGGGAGCCAGAGGTGTATCTTTGCGCTCGTTGGCACGCGGAATATACCTGAGCGGTTGGTTTTTGCGTTGGGTATTGGCACATTTGGGCGCCCAGAACGACCAGTGCAGACAAGAACGGGCGGTCCCTCTGCCGACCCGACCTGGGGTCTGCACCGCCTCCCGCTTGGTGGTACAGTGCCGTTTTTAATACATGCTCCGCGTGCGGATCATGTATTGAAAATGCAGGGATTTAGTATTAAGAACAACGATGAGTTCATGCATAATTTCATTCATGCATTAATCATCTACTAAAACATCCAATGTATAAAAAACTGCCCTGTACCGTCATGCTCGGGGGCCTCGCGCAGCAGTAAGGGCCAAG